TATTATAGATTAACACGAACTCAAATACAAAAAAGAAAGTGATAGGAGAGAATTCACCCTTGTCACATGAATTCCAACTCACCATCTTTGCCCCTCCAATTTTCATTTAAGTCTAACTACAAATACAAGAAGGAAAACTAAAGAAATTCTACTGAAAACTACATTTTTGTGGAGTTTCTCTAGCCGTCCAAAGTTATGAAAATGTTCTCCAAAGATTGCTGTTTATAGAGAATTCAAGCTCAAGGTGAGTTGTTTCTGGGTTGATAAAGTTGGCTTTTAAACTCATCAAGAGCTGTTCTCCAAGTTTTCACACTCTTGTTGGTCAGATAGAGCCGAAATTCTGAGTTGTAGATGAGTTGGAAAAGTTGTATAAATGCAGAACAAGTTGTAAAGCAAGTTGCAGCAAAAAAACTAGAATACGTGACCTCGAATACACGACCTTAGGTCGCATATTTCACCTCACATTTTCTCCATTACAGGTTTGCACTTTTTGGGCAGAATTCATTCTTGCTCTATTTTTGTACCAATTTCAACTGATAATTTCTTGATGATGGAGGCTGAACTAGTTCTTGTGAAAAATATGAAAGTTGTAGCTTTTTGAGTTAGTTTTTCAATGCATCAAAAATCATCTAATTTTCAGCTTTGTGGACTCAGAAATAGACAAAATACCCTCAACTGGTCAATCTCCTGTTTTAGCTTTCGACAATGAAATTTCACTTCGGTATTTCAACTTTTTGACAATGAAAATGACTAAACTGGACTTCAATGTCTTCATAACAAATATAGGTCTATCTGTAGCTTCAAAATGGTTCAAGAATCATCTCAATCCAATGCCTGTAGCTCTGCCAAAATACGAACAAATGTCAATGCTGTCAAACTTGCATTTCTTCCATTGAACATTTTACACTTCATATCTTCTTTAAATCACTTCAAATCATCAATAATCATCCAAATATCTTCTCAATAAAAACATGAAATTTTCACCATTTAAACATGTAGAAATGCAATTTTCACAATTTAAACCATAAAATGTACATTTTCACTAATTCATTAGCTATCAAAATGACTAAACCACACCAAGACCAATTAATAAAACACACTTAAAACACACAAAATATGCACTCATCAGCCTTCATCTGCTTTTGATCCACATGCGAGGAGCCTTGGGTTGCATAAAATATGACAATCAAGGATTTAAAATGCGACAAAAATGGAAAAAAGAAAGGGAAAATGGCAATCATAAATTAGTACTATTCAACTAATGCCAAATATAAAATTCTCTTATAACCCAAAATGTTTTAAAGGGTGACTTAGTAGTCTTATTATTTCATTTAAAAAGTTTGACTATCTTCCTTTGACTGTTAAATTTGATGGCAAATTTAATACTTTCACTTTCGTAATTTCCATAAGGAGGGAAAATGTAGGTTTCTAATCCACAGGGAGTTAATGTAAACGTTTGCTTAATCACAAGGAGCTATTTTATATTTAGCCCTTTTTTTAATCTAATTTGTTAATTCTTACGACATAAGGATAGAATTGACTTCATGTAAATTAATAGTTGCATGACAAATTTGGATGCTATTAATTCCACAGAAGATGCTTGGCAATTTCACTGCGGTCTTTCGTAATCGATCCACGAGGCTTCTTACACATTTGACAAATTTGAAAGCTATCTCAAAGGCTTCTTGAAATAGTGGTATGACCCAAGAGGGGAAATGACAATCATAGTTGATGACATTGGCAACATCAATCATGCCATCTGTTAATCCAGACATAAATTATTAAAAAATGATTTGGTCTTACTAACTAATCCTCGAGAATTAGACTGACAGCATAATTATTAGGGCAATTTACATCTCTTATGGTTTGCCGTTTTACCGCATAACCATTTTGTAGTTTAAAAACCTATAATTAGTTTGGGCAAATTATCCAATTGGTCCTTGAACTCTTTGTCTAGGTAAAAATAAGCCCCTCATCTATTTTTTACTGACTTTAAGCCCTCGAACTTGTAAAATTGGACACCCGTGACCCTTTTAGCCAGTTTCTCCGGTTTTGCAACCGGAAGGCCAATTCACACGAATGCCAGCGTGCTTCTTCAAAGGGTATTTTTGTCCGCATCTTCTAAACAAAAATGGAACAACTCCTCCACCTTCTTCCCTCCATTTCTGCAAAACCCTCGTTGCCGCCGCTTTCTCTCTTCTCATTCTCTGCAGGAGAGTGATACCACCACTCTCAGGAATCTCCCCACTAGCAGAATCATAGCTATTCCTTCGACTGCCCAATTCTCCCCCACTCTAGACACCAGTCCTATCAAAATTAGACGCTAAAACACTATTCTCATCCAAACCTTCCAGTGGAGATGCCATTGCAGTCGCTATTCTCGGCGAGACCACCATAGTTGTCTCCGGCGAGACCACCATATCCATAAGCGCAGGGAGTAGGAGCGAGTTCAAGTGAAGAGATCACACAGCAATTGCAATGAACCAGCCCCAAACTCGGATTATATGCTGCAGACTCGATATATGATCCCCTGTACACTTTCCCTTCGGGATCCATCAGGGCCACCCCGGATAGGCACCCGCTATACGGTGCATGTGACTTGTTGGCAGCCTCCAAGGCTTCTATCCTCAGAAGGGCCTCACTTTCTTCCAACGCTCCCTAAAACCCATTGCTTAAATTTTTAAAATTCCCATCAAGTTCAGATTCTTTTGAATAGCCATTGCACAAATTTGCCTGTTTTCGGGAAGTATCAAAAGATAGCCCAGTGCTATGGGGTTCGAGGAGGAGGGGAGATTCTTTATCCAACAGATCACATGGGCCAAATGGGTTGGTTAAGAATTCCGGCAATGGCTTAAAGAGGAGGGGAAATTTTGAAAAGTTTTGATTTGGGTGGTCAGAGGTGATGAGGATTTAGAGAGAGGAAGAATCCCGGAGTTCTTGGAAGAACTGGCGGCAGTGGCCACAAGGGGCGGCGGAGACGGCGAGAGCAATGAGGCGAGGGCAGCCATGGACGGCGAGGTTGTTGCAGAGGAACTGCTCTGCGTGGACAGATTGATGTAAGGGGAGACCAGGGAACTCGAGATCGACGCCTATAAAAACGTGGCTGTTGGAGCCGAGGTCGACGGCCCTGACGGAGAATTTGGAGATGGGAGGACGAGCAAGGGACTGGGCTGGTTGAACCAAGGTGGGGAGGAGGTGGAGGAGTTGTTCCCTTTTTGCTTAGAAGATGCGGACAAAAATGTCCTTTGAAGAAGCACACTGGCATTCGTGTGAATGGACCTTCCGGTTGCAAAATCGGAGAAACTGGCTAAAAGGGTCACGGGTGTCCAATTTTACAAGTTCGAGGGCTTAAAGTCAGCAAAAAATAGATGAGGGGCTTATTTTTACCTAGACAAAGAGTTCAAGGGCCAATTGGATAATTTGCCCAATTAGTTTTGACACTCTTCTATTAGCCTCCTATCCCATTTATAATTAGTTTCCACACTCAATATGTCTTGGTTATGTTTTATGTACAAGATTTAAGTGTTGAAAAATTTGAAGAGTTTGTTTAACTAAAGTATAATATGCTTTTCCCAGGGAAGTCACTTGTCTTTTCACTGGAAAAAATTTCCCAGGTTCATGCTCGGATTCTTCTTCTTCTTCTTCTTTTTTAATCGCTTGTTTGTGTTGTCATCTCCATTACTTAAAACATATATTATTTGTTTTGAAGGGACCAAAATCCTTCATTGGATTTTGACTCTTGGCTAGCTTGTTCAAACTTCCAAGTTTCTTAAACACAAGTACCTCCAAGGATAGAGAAAATACCAAATTGAGGGTTGACTTCTACTCTGTATATTATCAGCAATCAGGTTTGGTTAGGCAGAGCCAAAGAAGGAGGAGGATTTACAGCAATTAGTAGGCATTGTTCTGAAGCCGCGGTTTAAAACGCATACACAGAGTCATGCCAGTAAAGAGAGAATATCTGAGAGCATTGGCAATCAAATATCAGGGGGTAAATTACATACAATCCCCATGAAATTTTGAATAATACCACATTCAAAATAGTCATGTAATTCCATCAATATACATGGCTATAAGTGATGTCCTGATCGAAAAATGATGGAGGAAATTGGACTGCGATGTGGATTGATAAGAGAATCAGATGCGTGATAATTATTGATTTCTTGCAAAATCTTGTACATTTCGTTACTTGAAACAGGGCATTGATAAACATCAAATGAAAACGCGAATCCAACAAAGAAGGATTGATAAGCTGTGATTAAAAATGCCATATCAACTAGAGTTTACTGATACGAATTCAATCAGGAAGTTGATGTCAGTTTCATTAAATTAACAGAGAATGGGCATCATAATGGGAGGCATGACAGTAACATTTAGTTAACGACATTCAACACGAATAGCCAAATATCTGAGGAAATGATAGCAATTGTTGCAGTAGTCAAGCAATAGCAATGGAAGGGCGGCTACACATTCAAAAGAAGGCACAGCAATATGATCAGTGTGGAACAAAGTTTGCATTATAAACTAATTCAGAGCCAGCTACAACGTCACAGAAGAGCAGGCAATAGACATGAAACTTCCAATACTAGGCTAATATGCAAGAAATTCCTGGGAAGTGTTTTGAATGATTTTTTTATATAATTATTTTTCAAATTGTCATTTCCTCTACTTATTTATTTATATATTTGTAAATTCACATGAAAAAAATAGATGAATTAAGGTTTGATGCTATGTAAAATATCAGTTTGATGAATTACGGTTGACCTTGTATGTTCCCATTTAATTCTTGATCCTGTTCAATTGATTTCCATAATTTCATCTCTCCGACGTTCCCATCCACCAAGTGGGATCCTCTCTTGAATAGAAATTGGTGCCTCAATTCAGTTTTCTAAATTGCCCTCTGATTTAACATAAATAGAAGGGCTCAAGCTGACTGATTCTTGTGCTCTGAGTCCTGTCTGAGATTTACAGATACAAAGAGCAATGGAAAAAGTATCATCGGGCACAACTTGTAGTCGACTGCAGAACAGTGAGAAAAAATATGCTGCCTGTTATAGAGCTAAGATACAACTTCAAGAAGGATGCAAGCACCTATCAGGGTTCAGCTAATCCACATCTTTCTGCTGCTTTGAACTACAAGCAGTATGGAAGATATGGCAAATTGAGTTCCAAAAGAAGTAAAATAGCACCTCATTAACATGTCTACAAATTGCTGAATTGGTTGGACAGTTTAACAGCACCAGACAGACAGGGAAGATCTCAGGCTTTGGCCATCCGAGGCAGAGAGCAAAAGGGAATTCCATCCCGGATGTTTTCATCTGATCTGATTGAAACAGGATCTGGTTCAGCAAGGGATCATAGGACTTTCATTACAAATGATAGTAAGACCGAGCTATCAAGGTTAATGTTGATCTCTGAGTGCAAAATCACTGCAAAACACAAAAACTCAAACTTAAGAGACTCGAGACAGTATGTAGTCAAGAACAAAGCCAGCGCCTAGTTGCATGACATTTTTGTTGTATTTGAAACACTAAAATAAGAACTTAACATGAAGAGAGGAGCAACCAAGTATAGAAGGCAAAATGAGCTTAATAGCCTTCATCATAGCGAATGAAATAATTGCAGCAAGTAGCAGCAGCCAACCAGTATGCTTGGCAGTCTTGACTAACCATAGCAATATGCTTCAAAACTTGCAGCTTAGACTTGATTGTGTTAGAAGATACTATAACAAGTCTGTGCAGCTTCACTGCATGAACAGTACATCTTCCATGGCTGCTCCCAAAAACATTTCCATTATGAGAAGATTTCTCAAGTTTTGGTTGTAATATGTTCAGAATCAAAGTAGTTAAAAGTCAAATTTTAGTAAAAGAAGAGCAATCTATCTTAACTTACCGAACTCTTAGAATCAAAAAACCAATTTGATGACCAACAGCTCTGGGAAACTCCTAAAATGTTTACGACTTGAAAATCACAACCAAGGAAAAGTGAGACAGAAACCCATCATTTACAAGACTTATCGAACAAATCACTAATCAAATGGTTCAAGAAGCTTGATAAATGCACCTTCAAGAGGCGATTAAACTTTGGAGCAACTATTTATCCCTCTAGAATCATAAGCTAGGGAGCTGATCCCTTTAGCAATCACATCTTACATCCACAAAAGCAGATATATAAAATCAACAAACTAAACTTCTAGTGTGTATTTCATATTGATGGGTAACTTGTAGGAAATGCAAAACAAAAATTAATGAATACCAGCTATAAAAATCTAATCTATGTTCATCTCAGGGAGAGACACAAAAATCTGCCTGCTAAGTGCAGGAGGAAAGAGTGCAGTAGAGAATTGCTGGTTCAAAGTCTTATAGAAAAGGTTTCTAGAATTGCTGCATGTGGTATCGAAGGTAAAATGTCCAATGCATTTTCAACAATGAACTTCAGAGAGAGCAATCTTTTCATCCTGGTGGAATCACAAGTTTAAAGAGAGTGCACCGATGTTAGCAATCATGACGCATAAAGGAGAGTAACTGACATGCATGATAGACAAAACTAAATTCTTAAATTCCACCCACATTAGTGCATTTGTTTCAGTGCTGGTTCATCCAAAACATGATTGACAGGTGCCGAACCTGTGCAATAATAAAAATAGAACCTAACAACCACCTGTCAAAGAATTCAATACCTCCACCTGTCAAAGAAATTTGACAGGTGGCTTGCGCTGTGTGGACTGGCGGTGGAGCTTGGCGGTGCTGAGGTGGAGTTGGCTGGAGGGAGGCGCGGCGTCGATGGGTCAGAATTGGTGGCACACGAGGTTGATCGCAGGTGGAGGTGGCCGACAGCAGCGTGGTGGCGTGCAACCTGGCTGAGAGCTGGTGGTGGCCGCGAGCGCGCAGGTGGAGGGCCGGCCAGGACAAGGTCGCGCGATGGAGGATCATGTCGTGGGCTGTGGCGGCGCTGGGGTCGGTTTGGCCACGCGCGGCGAAGTGAGGTCGAGGGAGAGGAGACCGCGCTCGAGGGCTGTGGTGGCGCTGGGGTCGCACGGTGAAAGCGAAGAGAGGCGCGGCGAGCTGGACTGCTGGTCGAGATGGAGCTTGGCAGAGAGAAGCCGCAAGGGCCGAGCGCGGGAGCAGCTTGGGCTGGCTCACGGGCGGCGTCCAGTGGAAGTCGGCGATGGAAGAGAAAGGGCTAGCGGCGGCTGGTTGCGTCGGATGGAGGTGGCCGCGAGCTCTGGAAGAGGAGCCAGCGGCGGCGGCGGACGAACAAAGGAAAAGAAGGAAAAAGGGAAAGCAGGGGCATCGGAGAAGAAGAAGAAGAAGAAGAAGAAAGAAAGAAAAGAAAAAGAAGAAAAAGAAGAAAATAGAAAAGGGAATTTTTTTTTTCCAAAAATTATTCCAGCGTAAATCGTCCAAATTGGAAATTGCCCCCTTTTTTTTAAATAATTTTTTTTTTGTAATAATAAAATAAATTTTTTTCTTTTTTTTTCTTTGGATTGGAAAGAAAATAATCTTTTCTTTTTCTTTTGATGCTAGTAATAATAATAATAATAATACTGAATAATTAATAAATTTTTTTTTTTTGCAAAAACATGGTTTGGGTCGTCCAACACCGCGTGGGCATGCCAAGATTACAAAACATCCTCTGACCTCAGGAGACACAAACACCGCGTGGGCACGCCAACCGCGTGGGCACGCCAAGATTGGTCTTCGTCCTCTGACCTCAGGAGACACAATTACCGCGAGGGCACGCCAAGATTTCACTTCCTGGTCACAGTGGAGGAGATATTAGCATTTATACTACCCAACGGAGAAACGACAAAACGAAAGAAATAAACAACTAAAAACAATAAAATCAATATTCGGATTGCCTCCCAAAAGAGCGTCTTTCTTTAGTGTTTTTGGCTAGACATATCCCATAATTTGCTTAAACCAAGCAAATCGGGTCCTCCAAATGCATCGTCTCTACCCGTTCAACCGGAGCCCCATCATAATATGGTTTGAGACGATAACCATTCACCACAAATTTCTTCTCCGTCCTTAGACTCTGGATCTCCACTGCACCATAATCAAAGACATTAGTTACAACAAAGGGACCGATCCAACGAGAACGTAACTTACCTGGAAATAACTTCAATTTCGAGTGGTACAGTAAAACTTTTTGCCCACATTCAAACGTCTTCCTAGAGACCTGCCGGTCATGAAATATCTTATTCTTCTCCTTGTAAATCACAGCATTCTCATATGCTTCATTGCGAATCTCCTCCAATTCTTGTAATTGTAACTTCCTTTGACTTCCGCCCTCCTCAATATTCAAGTTGCATTGCTTGACCGCCCAAAATGCTCTATGTTCGAACTCGACGGGGAGGTGACAGGGCTTTCCAAATACCAAACGATAAGGGGACATGCCGATTGGCGTCTTGTACGCCGTTCTATATGCCCATAAGGCATCTTCAAGTCTCATACTCCAATCCTTCCTATCGGGTCGAACCATCTTCTCCAAAATCGACTTGATCTCCCGATTTGATGCCTCTGCCTGACCGTTTGTCTGAGGATGGTAAGATGTTGAGACTTTGTGCAAGACACCGTACCTCCTGAAAAGTGCAGCAATCGTCTTGTTGCAGAAATGGGTACCCCTATCACTTACAATTGCTCGCGGCATCCCAAAGCGGACAAAAATATTAGATTTTACAAATTCTGCAACCACTTTGAAATTATTAGTACGGGTGGGTTTTGCTCCCACCCATTTCGAAACATAGTCTACGGCAAGCAATATATACAGAAAACCATAAGACGAAGGAAAAGGGCCCATAAAGTCAATACCCCAAACGTCAAAAATCTCAACAAAAATCATTGGGGTTTGGATCATTTGATCCCTACGAGAAATATTACATACTCGTTGACACTTATCACATGACTTACAAAACAAGTAGGCATCCTTAAAGAGGGTCGGCCAATAGAATCCACTCTCTAGAACCTTACGAGCCGTCCTCTTTGGTCCAAAGTGATCTCCACATGCAAAAGAGTGACAATAAACTACAATAGATTTGAATTCATTTTCACTTACACATCTACGAATGATTTGGTCGGCACCATGTTTCCAAAGATAGGGATCATCCCAGACATAGTCCTTTGCATTGCTTTTTAGTTTGTCCCTTTTCGCCTTGGGCCAACCTGCGGGCAATTTGTCAGTAACCAAATAATTCACAATATCTGCAAACCAATGAGGGGATGAATTAATAGAAAGTAAATGTTCCTCAGGAAAAGACTCCCTTAATGGTAATTCCTCCTCCGCTACCAGTATTCGACTTAGGTGGTCAGCTACTAGATTCTCTGCTCCTTTTTTATCTCTGATTTTCAAGTCAAATTCCTGCAGGACCAATATCCATCTTATCAAACGGGGTTTAGCGTCCTTCTTGGTCAGCAAATACCTCAAAGCTGCATGGTCAGATTACACAATTACTTTAGCACCTAGCAAATAAGGTCTAAACTTTTCTAAAGCAAAAACAACAGCTAAGAGTTCTTTCTCCGTAGTGGAGTAATTTAGTTGGGCGCCATTTAAAGCTCTAGAGGAGTAATATATTGCGTGCGCCGCTTTCTCCACCCTTTGTCCCAAAACTGCTCCCACGGAGTGGTCGTTGGCATCACACATAATTTCGAATGGGAGATTCCAATCAGGGGGTTGGATGACAGGTGAAGAAGTGAGTAGTTTTTTCAACTTCTCGAACGCTTCTTTGCACTCCTCGTTGAATTCAAAACTGACATCCTTTTGCAAAAGCCTGAAAAGTGGTGCCCCGATCTTTGAGAAATTCTTGATAAATCTGCGATAGAAACCTGCATGTCCTAGAAAAGAACGAACTTCCCGTACAGTTACGGGGTAAGGTAAAGCAGATATCACATCTATTTTAGCTTTATCAACCTCAATTCCTCTAGACGACACTACATGTCCTAGAACTATCCCGTGCTCAACCATAAAGTGGCATTTTTTCCAATTGAGCACTAAGTTAGTCTCAATGCATTTTTTTAAAATCAATGTCAGGTTATCTAAGCAATCGTCAAAACTATCACCATAGACACTGAAGTCATCCATGAATACCTCGATTATTCTCTCCACATACTCAGAAAAAATGCTAATCATGCACCTCTGAAATGTTGCAGGGGCATTGCACAATCCAAATGGCATTCTTCGATAGGCAAAAGTGCCAAAGGGGCAAGTGAAAGTTGTTTTCTTTTGATCCTCTGGTGCAATTGCTATCTGAAAATAACCAGAGAAACCATCTAAAAAACAATAATAGGCACGACAAGCTAACCTTTCAACCATTTGATCGATGAATGGATGAGGAAAATGATCCTTCTTGGTCACCGCGTTCAATTTGCGGTAATCGATGCACTGGCGCCAACCCGTAGGCTTTCGAATTGGAACGAGGTCCCCTTCATGATTTTCTTCCACAGTTACTCCTGCTTTCTTTGGCACCACTTGGACTGGACTCACCCATGGGTTATCTGAGATAGAAAAAATAATTCCTACGTCCAGAAGCTTGATTACCTCTTTCTTGACCACTTCCATCATGATGGGGTTCAATCTCCTTTGTGGTTGTCTTATCGGCCTAGCATCCTCTTCCAGGCGAATTCGATGCATGCACACGGAGGGGCTTATACCCTTTATGTCCGCAATTGTCCAACCTATAGCTTCCTTATGCTCCCTTAAAACCCGTAGCAGCTTATCCTCCTCCCTGGGTGATAATTTGGATGGGATTATCACTGGTAACGTCTCTTTTTCACCTAGATAGGCATACTTTAAATGCTCGGGCAGAGGTTTTAACTCCACTTCAGGTGCCTGCATGATAGAAGGTAATAGCTTTAGGTGTGGTTCAGGCACAAACATAGGAGCGACATCATACCTTAGAAAACTTTGGCCTAGTGAATGCAAGGCTCCAACCATTCTTTGCAAACTGACACCTAACTCCATT